AAAAAAAGAACAAACCATCGATATACACAATGATATGGATGAATCTCCAAATACTTATGCTAAGATAAATATGAAATTATACAATACGGACTGTTTTTTTTTGGTGATATTTGCACGACGTGAATGTATTTAATGCCACTGAACTGTACGTTTAAAAATGGTTAAAATGGTATATTTTACCACAATAAAAAAGAGAGAGAAAAAAAAGAACAAACCATCGATATACACAATGACATGGATGAATCTCCAAATACTTATGCTAAGATAAATATGAAATTATACAATACGGACTGTTTTTTGAGGGGGGGGAGCCAGATCCTTCCACCCAAAAAAACAGTCCGTATTGTATAATTTCATATTTATCTAAAATTCTAGAAAATGCAATCTAATCTAGAGTGACAGAAAGCAGATCAGTGGCTGCCTGAGGCAAGAAGAGGAAGAGGCAAGTGGGGGTCAGAAAGAGGGGTGACCAAGGGGCACGAGGAAACTTCTGGGGGTAATGGATATATGTGCTCACTATCTTGATTGTGGCGATGGTTTCGCAGATGTGTTAAAACGTATGAAACTGTAAACTTTAAATATCTGCAGTTTCCTGTATGGAAATGACACCCCAGTAAAGCTATCCAGGTATAAAGCTACTCATTTCAAAATAAAGATTTAATAACTGTGGGAAGAAATTTCCATCCTTAAGTGAATTCACTTTTTCCCAAGTCCAAAACATAAATGGGAATCCCTGCTAAAACCTGTTGTTGTTGATATGTATTATATATGTCCTGGAGTAACGAGCAATTGCCAGCAAAACTAGAAGAGGAAGATCGACTACTCTATTTACCCATGGTTCTCCCAAGCCATTCCTGATTAAAAATTGTACCATTTCGATCTTCCTACTGGAGATATCTATTTAACTAGAATTGCTTGTGAAGCCAATGAGTTTAGTACATAGTGACGCGTATCCTATACAAATTACTTCTCAATGACCTCTGCTCACAGAAATAAACCAAAGAGGGATGACTGCCTCATAAATCTACATGAAGATTTATTTCACTGGGAAAAGGTACTGAGAGCCGAGTCTCGAAAGCTCTTTAGCTTTACCTGAATTTAATTTCGGCAGCAAGTCATCACCTCTCTTCTGAACTCTCGATGCGTCGTACATAAACCTTTCCTGTGGCACGTAACACTCCCCTGTCACGAAGGAACTCTGTGACCTTGGATAAGTCACTTCCATTCTCCTCACCTCATGTTTTCATCTGTGAAATGAGAGGCTTGAACGAGGCCAGGAGAACACACCTTACTTCACCTGTGCTCTCAAGGCAAAAATGGCCTTTATTTGATTTACCTTTGGAGGCTCCATACTCTCTAGAACTAATTGAACTTCGCTTAGCAAATGCTCAACAAACAAGTTCAAGGACACAAACAACAGTACAGTTGTCTGAAATGTCCACTCTTTGCTCCATTTTAAGCCCGAACATGATTTTAACCCAAATGGCTCTCTTCGAGTCCACCTTTACCATATCTCTCACAGGAACATAAGGAAGCCAGAGAAATAAACCTATAATTTGTCACCTGGAAGAAGATGCTTGGAAAAAACGCATGCACCAAAAAGTTTCAAGGGACATGCTTTGTAAGTAAACCCTCTGACCCAACATCACGCACGCAGCCAGAGACCGAGAGAAAGGTTCCATTTCACAGAACAAGCTAAGCTAATGCGTTCCCGTCATCTGCGAGTCCGTGTAGACAGCTACAGCAGACGCCGTGGGGAGAAGTGGGGTGGCAGGAAGCGAGGGGATCAGGATCTGCAAGGAAGAGCAAGCAGGACGTTCCCTTACGCCTCTGCACATCAAAAATCCCCAGTCGTGGAGGTGGCTGCACTGCGGGCAGAGGAGGTAACTGCTCATGCGGCATTCGGCCTTAGCTTTTAGGACTCGGGAGCCAGAATGTCTGGGTTCGAACCCTAGCTCCACTGATGAAGAGCTGTATAACTGTGGAAAGGCTCATCATCCTTCGGGGCCTCAGTTTCCTCACCTGTAAAACGAGGATAACAGTAGCATTTTATTCATGGGCCTTCTGAAAAATTAAATAACTTAATATGTGTAAAAGGCTTATGTCAGTGGCTGGCACATAGTAGGTGCTCAATAAAGGACAGCTCCTAGTATCGCTATTATTATTAGCCAGACTTCTGGGAATATTGGGGCTAAGAAAACAAAGGACTTATACCCCTCTTACAGATTCAAATCCTGCCGTTCCCCGCCCCCCCGCAGGTGATAACTGCAAGGCTCAACCCGTACATATTTATGTGTATTTGCATACTTTATCAGTCTTAACTACTCCTGACCACAGAAACTATTCATTAAAAATTTTAATTCCTTTCAGAAAGATATTCTAGATTTCGAAAACTACTTGCTCGCCCGCTCTCTGGGAGGACAATAGGACCATTAAACTGCAGGGCCAAGAGAACCTGCGCGCACAAAGACACCTTTGTAGCGGCCTCAGCTGTCACATTCCGCTGAGCGTCGCCTCCTTAAGGGAGAAACCAACAAACTCCACTGCGGGTTCCCATCAGAGTTCTTGGATGTGATCATTCTTAAACCCTGGCAAGGCTTTATTAAAGATCAGAGGATCTCGGTTCTTTCCATTAGGACAGCGTCAAACCCCCTTCAAGCAATTTTCTTAGGTCAGCAGCGGTATTCGAGATGCCAGAGAAACCGGTGAAATTTCCAGGCACTGAGCTCCTTCCTCGTTTGGGGCAGAAGACGTAAGTTAGAAAATATCTCGGCTACCCTGGGGAAATTTTCTGACTCGGGGAAATGGTAAGAAGTTTCAAGAGAACCATGTAAATTTCTTTTTGAAATCCCTTTTCCAAAACAGTCGTTTGAGTCAACGAGAAAGGAATCACGACAGCAAAAAAAAAAATCCAGTTGAAAAACTAGTTGTTGGACAACAGTCACCCTTGAAAGTGCCAGTGCGTTTTCTGATGGGAAATCGAGATCCTCTGGTTTTGTGAGTACTTGTAATAAACAAGCAGATGAGACAAGCGGGCGGGAGACACAATCCCGTGTCTGGTACTCCCCTTATCAAACGATCAGGCAAAAAAGAAGTCAGCAGTGATCACTGCCGTCCTCTGCATTTTCACCCGTCTTTCTCGTGTGCCAATTCTGAAAAGCAATGGGGGATCCTGTACGCACAGAAACTGAACGACAGAAGCAGGAAAACTTGAGTGGGCCATAAAGAAAGGTAGCCTGTGACTGCTGTTCCAAAGGGATCAGATTTCAGAAAGGTCAGGAAGCAGTCCACCACAGCCACCCTGGAAGGTCTGAGGGCGCAGAGCCCCCGGCGGGAGGAGGAGTTCCCTGACTCTGCCCACACCCGCCCCCCGACTGCTTCGGGCGGGGACGCGCCGCGGTCACACCGCACCAAGCCAAGGCCAAGTCCGTATCTGACCGATCGCTCCCAACGAGACGGCGATGTCAACCACCATAAAACAGTTCGGCGAGACTGGAAATGCGCGCCTGTGGGAACCTGGGACGATTCGCTGGACTTCTGCTTTCCTGGCCCCTTGACCAGCGAGGTCATTAAGGCGACGGCGCCTCCTACCCTGCGCTCCAGAGCAAGGTGGTGGCCGCGCGAAGCCATCTGGATGCTGCTCGCCCAGGCCCGGGACGGACAAAAGGACAGAGCACTTGCACGTGACCACATCGGTCTCCGCACAGCATGCCCGGGAGCACGGCGAGGCCAGAAAGAGGCATATTCTGCAGCAATGTGGCTGTGGCGAAGCCGACAGGGACACGCGACACCCGGGCACGGACACGGACACAGACACAGACAGAGACACAGACACAGAGACAGAGACACAGACACAGACAGAGACACAGACACAGAGACAGAGACACAGACACAGACAGAGACACAGACACAGAGACAGAGACACAGACACAGACAGAGACACAGACACAGAGACAGAGACACAGACACAGACAGAGACACAGACACAGAGACAGAGACACAGACACAGACAGAGACACAGACACAGAGACAGAGACACAGACACAGACAGAGACACAGACACAGAGACAGAGACACAGACACAGACAGAGACACAGACACAGAGACAGAGACACAGACACAGACAGAGACACAGACACAGAGACAGAGACACAGACACAGACAGAGACACAGACACAGAGACAGAGACACAGACACAGACAGAGACACAGACACAGAGACAGAGACACAGACACAGACAGAGACACAGACACAGAGACAGAGACACAGACACAGACAGAGACACAGACACAGAGACAGAGACACAGACACAGACAGAGACACAGACACAGAGACAGAGACACAGACACAGACAGAGACACAGACACAGAGACAGAGACACAGACACAGACAGAGACACAGACACAGAGACAGAGACACAGACACAGACAGAGACACAGACACAGAGACAGAGACACAGACACAGACAGAGACACAGACACAGAGACAGAGACACAGACACAGACAGAGACACAGACACAGAGACAGAGACACAGACACAGACAGAGACACAGACACAGAGACAGAGACACAGACACAGACAGAGACACAGACACAGAGACAGAGACACAGACACAGACAGAGACACAGACACAGAGACAGAGACACAGACACAGACAGAGACACAGACACAGAGACAGAGACACAGACACAGACAGAGACACAGACACAGAGACACGGACACAGACACAGACAGAGACACAGACACAGAGACAGAGACACAGATGCAGACACAGACACAGAGACACAGACAGAGACGGAGAGACAGAGACAGAGACAGAGACACAGACACAGACAGAGACGCAGACACAGACAGAGACGCAGACACAGACAGAGACAGAGACACAGAGACAGAGACAGAGACACAGACACAGACAGAGGCGCAGACACAGGGACGCACGCGTGCGGCCCTGGCCGGCCGTGTCGCCTTCGGGGCTGCTGCTCCGGAGGGCGCACTGTACCTTCGAAGCTGTGGCTGTACACGGCCACCGCGGACCTCTCCACCAGGTTTTCGTCGTGGTGCCAGCTCACGGCCATCTTCCCCATGCCGAAGTAGGGTTCCTCCTTCAGGTACGGCATTTTCTGCGGGTCCATGAAATTCAGCAGAGTCACGTTGTACGCAGACCTGGTCTTAATGTCCGCTTCGTCCTGCCCCTCGAAGGCCCCCACGCCGACCCTGGGGAAGTCGGGGCCGATGCACAGCGGCACGGCGTCGACATCCGCCTTCTCTCTGGCCGCGAGCTCCCCCCACGCCCGGGCCGTCTCGCCCCGCAGGTGGTCGTTGAGCTTGAGGAAGGTCTGACACGCGGCAGCTATTTCGGCCCCGTGGTAGTTCGTCGTGGAACCCTTCACGGGCCAGGGTACCGTGAAGAGCCTGGTGTTCAGGTACTTGTAGGTGCAGCCGGGGTTCCCGATGAGGATGCGAGACACCGGGGTGAGCACATCTTTGCCTTGGACCCTCACCAGGTCCCGAAACAGGCAGCCGCGCTTGTGCAGGCTGAGAAAGGCGCCCTGCACCTCTTGATGGAGCGTCTCGGGCACACTGCCGGCCTCGCGCAGGATTAGTTTAGGGTATTTCAGCTGCCACTAAAACAAAACCAGAGCGAAAATATGTGTTTATGGATGGCGTTCATTTTATTATTTCCAAAAGCAGGTATCTTTGGGAGCATTAGGGGGGAAAAAAAAATTAAGAAAACACAACTGGCCGGTGGTATTTCTTAAAAGGATTCATCTCTCTCCAGCCTAAAATAGGAGACCAAATAAAACAAATGTCATCAACTCTCCAGGCAAGATTTTCAAATCCAAGCTCAATTAACGGTCCTTAACAATAATAATGTGGGCTTTGATTTCTCAGGCTCCCTCTGTGGCCACTTCTCCCCACTCGGAATCTGTCTCTCAATCTTTGAGCCTCCAGAAAACACAATTTTATTAACTGACTGCATACCATCTACGTACCAAGTACTTACTATGTGCCTTGCACTATTCTAAATGATCGATACGCACTGACTCGCTCACTGCTCACAACTTCATATGGTGGTACTACCCTGGTCTCGTTTATAGAGGAGAATACTGAAGAAAACTTACCCAAAGTCACAGAGCTGATCAATACTGGAGCTGGAAGTTGAAGCTCCAGAAAAAAAAGCTCCAGAGCATGTATCTTTAACCACTAGGCTGCACTGCTCTCGACGAACTGGTTTCCCCTTCAATGTTTTCACTGAAAGAGAAATCACTTCTCTTTGGAAGACAGACACGAAGCTCCATGAACACACAGCCATGACAGTTTTGTTCACAACTATAATACTAGTGTCTAGAATGTACTCACTGAATTTTAAAGGAAGGAAGGAAGGAAGGGAGGGAATGAGGGAGGGAGGGAGGCAGGCAGGTGTGGGGTAGTCTCTGCAATTCGGAAAGTTGCAATAATCCCACTGGCGTCCCTGTGAGAGAGCGTTGGAAGATAATTCTGTATGGAAACTCGTGGATTTACTGACGCAGTTAAGGGCTGCCTCACCTTTCGGCCACCACGTCTGGCTCCTAGGACCTGACATATGAATCAGTATCAAGCCAGAGTTCCCCGATTCCATACAATGAAACTGACTTCCTTTCAAAATCAAAGCACAGGATTTTACTTTTACCCCATAAAGTTTAATTCAACTGGTTGCATCTTAGTATTGTGTTGCCATCATTTTTGACATACAGTCCTTCCATATCTTCGTTCAATAATTACTATCTACATGATAAACAGGGCGAGACCATTTATTCTTCCAAACAAATGTCTACAGAGCACCTACAAAATACTAGACAGAGAGTAGGTTCCTGTCCTCAAGGAACTTGCTACCAAATCGGGTAAATAAATAAAGAAAAGTAATCCCAAACTGTGTTGAGTACTAAGCCAGAAACAAATCAGTAGGCAAGCTGTCCTTAGTGCAGGACAGACTCTCTGAGGAGCTGGCATTTAAGCCGAGATCTTCAGGAAAAAAAGGCAGCAGCCACGTGACGAACGAGGGACTAAAGATACAAAGGCGCTGAGAACAGAGACCGGCCTATTCTAGAGACAAAAAGAAGGCCAGTTTTACTAGAGCAAAAACAGCCAAAGGCAGCGTGACGGGACATGAGGATGAAGAGGAAGGCAGAGGCCGGACGGCACCAAACCTGGAGGTCCAAGTGAGGACTCCGGATGTGACCGTGAGCGCACTGGAGGACTGTCAGGGAAGAGCAATTTGATTTTGATGGACACAAATCACTCTTAGTTAAAATACCGGGCAGGGACTGGAGAGAGGCGAATATGAAAGCAGACGATCCTGTGAGGGACTATTACGACCATCCAGGAGGAAAGCGATGATGGTCTGGATGAGAGACAGAGACCGACGGACAGAGAAAACACACACTTAACAGGCAGAGCAAAAGCATGTGCCTACGGATTAGACGTGAGGGATACAGAAAGGAAAGAAGTTATGAGTGACTTCCAAATTTCTGGAGTTAATACACGAATAAATGATTCACTATATTTTGAAATAAGAGAGACTGGGGCAAAACAGAAGTGGTAGGTGGACGAACAGAGAGGAAGGAGGAAGCCTGTTTTGGAGCTGCAGCCGTTCAGATACCGATGAAATCCTCGGGGGGGAAACAGGGAGGAGGGAACATCCCCAGCGCAGAGGAGACAGTGGAGCTGGGGGAGTCGAGGTGGGAGCTGTCAGCCCACGACTGGTTTTTAAAGGCCTGGAAATTAAGAGGATCTCCTAGGGAAACGCCACAAATACAGAAGGGAGCCCCAAGCCAATCCCTGGGTCACGGAAGAAGGCTTAGCAGAGGAGACCAAGCAGAAAAACCAGGAGAGCATTTTAATGCATAAGTCAAAAGAGAAGAGCATTTCAAAGACGGGACAGTCGACTACGCCAACTGCCCCTGCGAGGCGGCGTGACACGAGGACGGGGATCATCCACTAGGTCTGGCGGCCTGGAAATCGCTGGTGACCATGACAAGAGCGATTTCTGCA